CATCTTTTTGGCTTTATCTTCCTCATTAAAGTCTGGGACATGATAATCATCCGGATGATCGTCAGGGATGATCGTAGAAGTTTGTATCTTCACAGCAGGTGCAACTTTCGCTTTAGTAACGAATGAGTCCCCGGGTAGTGCTGTTTTCCCTTTAGTAGCAGATGAGTCCCCGGGTAATATTTCGGGTGAGATAACCACTTGCGGGGTTGGTGGTATGGCCACCCCCTCGGAAGAAATGCCCCCTGATGCACTAGCTTGCTGTAGACCCGACAACTTGGCTACGATTTGGTCTACCAAGGACTCCTGATTTTTCTTGATGGACTCTAGAGTACTTTCACTGTTCTGAGCCATCTTATCTTCTAGTTCCTTTTGAAGTCTTGCCATGTTCTCTTCGTTCTTCTCCATTCTGGCTTCCATTTGTCTCTTTTTTGCTCGAGTATTGTGCGGGTGATGTGTATCTGATGCTTGCGGTGGTAAGCTCGGTGTCTGAGACATGTTCTGTTAGTTAATACGAATGTAAAAATATGGAAAATATAAAATAAACAAACATGAAATATAAAATGCAAGAAATGCAATGCATGATGTATGCAATTGGAGGCATTGATCCAGAAAAGTGTTCATTATTATAAATAACCCTTATTCAGACAAAAATGTTTTATCTTTTAAGAGACAAAAACAAATTAAAGGTACATTCGGACTAAATCCTCTAGACCCCGAACAACTTCCAATAGGTTGACAAGTCTTCTGCCTTCATCTGTCACCGGTTGAATGCCTTGTCGAACCACTCCAGCTTCCCTTGTTAGGCCGTGAAGATGACGTGCTGCTTTTTGCACTTGATCCAGGAAATCTCGGATGGTTGCATCTCGGGCCCTCACCCTTTGCTGTGCTTGTTCCCAACGGAAACGCCATTGTAATCCTCCGTCGAAGGGCATCATCTGAAGCTCGTTTGCTTGCCTCTTGAACCCATCTACAATAGCTTCTAACTCAGCTATCGTCTTGCCATCTTTCTCATGCTGTTTCTCTAAGTCAGCTACCCGAACTCTCAAGCGCTGGTTCTGATATTGACTATCTGCCAAGCGTCTTTGGGCAGTCTTCGTTTGTTCTTTCCAAGCTCTCTCATCAGGCCCCTCAAACTTCCTTTTCAGACTATGGAGCTTCATCTTTCCAGTATTCAGAGGTTACCTTCAACTTGGAGTTATCCTTGACCTTATCTTGATACCCCTTTCTCAAGTCTTCGAGCTCAAAACGGACTCTTTTTTGCTCTCTTTCCAGTTTATCTGCCTGATCTTTCTGAGAGTCAGCATCAAGCTTCCACTGATAACGTTCAGCTTCAAGCTCCCTTATCCTCTGCTTTAGCTCATTATTCACAGCTTCAAACTCGGTCTTGGCTATCTCGAGTTCAGAAGAGACATGCCTGAGATGTTCTTCCATGGTACGGGTGTCTTCATAGTCTGGTACCGGAATATTGTCATTTTTCCTTAACTTTCGCTACTCCACATAATCAGGAGTAAGTATGCTTCTGGCAGCTACAACATCCATCCGGAATACTTTCCTCCATGAATCAACTACTCCCTTGATCATCTTCTTATAGTTGTCACCGTAATACTCAAACTCTGACCTAGCTAGTCCATATGTTGCTGGGACAAACTGACGTGCCCCATACTGTCTAAGTGCTAACAATGGAGCATACCCAACTGCACCCCAAAGTCCAGGTAAGGTCATAGTGTCGGAGTCCCCATATCGAAAAAGAACGTCACTGAGGAATAACTAGGGGGCTCTCCAGACAATATCCCGGTCCTGAAGATGCGTAAAAACCTTCATCCATTTTTCCTTTGAGGCGTCTTCATGCCATTTCATGGTGATGAATTCACCTAGAGGTGAATATGTGGTGCTGAAACGGCGGTAGGCAACCCCGTTAGTCTTCCAGAAGTGGCTATGAATCCAGACTTGAAGGAGCTGAACACACCCAGTGAACCTTCCTCCGCCAGTTCTTCTACAATGATTGAGAGATCGGAAGGTCTCGGCTAAGATGGTCGATGCTGGATTGACTCTTCTCGAGAGTTGTTCGAATAGCTCCACTACGGCGGCATCGACGTATCCCAATGTTTTTGGGAATATAATTAGACCATACAGACCTAATGCAAACAGGTCTATTGTCTTCCACTCATCGGGATGGTGCTTCATTAGTTGCTTAAGGTAGGCCCGCTCGAGTTTGATGTTTTCACAATGCAGCAGTGTAGTGTACTCTTCTATGGTGGGCACCATGTCTTCCCGGTTAAAGGTGAAGCAACTGTATACCAGGTTCCAGAATTGAACCAAGGCTCTGATTAGGGGCTCATCAGTCTTAACATGAAGCAAAAGTGCAACATCACCGTACTGTTGGCTGAACTTCTGTTTCACCTCATTCTTCCAACTGTCCCAGATGTCCCGAAGCTCTTGCACGTCATTCTGCTTTAGGCTGATCGAGGCGTAGCTAACCAGCTCTGACACATAGTTGTCTTGAAGACTGTCTCCTTTTTCCTTCTGAGTCTTCTCGGACCATAGTCGTACCTCGGGGTTTTTAATCTCTTGTATTACAACACATTTATCCATTAATTCAGATTATTTTGTGCGTAATGAACGTCTTTTTAGGGATCAATGGCCTCTTGTTATGATGCAAATGCTAAAGAACAAACACAAAGGCAAAAAGTTAGTAAAAGCAGAAATAAATAAATGAAAAAGAAGAAGAAAAAATGGCAAGGGAAAAAACATAGGGACAAAAACATGGTTAAGTAAACAATGTCCTAGGTTTTGGAATATGGTTTTGGGGTAGGCTCTATTTCTTCAAAAGTCTCCCGGTTTAGGTTCTAAAAACGGTACTCGAGTCCTCCTTGCCGGTGCCCCCTTGGGCTTGCCAGACCCTTAGTCCTAAACCCATCACAGGCTTGTGTGGACTAAGTTAAACTCGAGGGGACACATTCCCTTATGTCTATGCGGAGAATAAATTCACACGAAGACATAAGGTATATGAATCCCGAAGGCTACTTGCTAGGCATATGCGGTGAATAAATTCACACGAATGCGTCGCTTTCACCCCCACTTAAAGGGTTCAGAGCTCGGGTATAGAGCCTTTGGATGAAAAAGTTTAGAAAGCTGAAATCATTAGAAAACGGTCAGTCCAACTATTTACTCGAAAAAAATAACCAAAAATAAGTAATAAGGATCAAAATGTTACCTTAAAGTTCAAACTTACCCTTTTCATTAAAAAGACAACTGGAAATTATCTTAGCCTGACTCACTTACCTGGGTCCCCAGCGGAGTCGCCAAGCTGTCGTAACCGTCGTTCGGTTGGGCCCCGGAATTGGGCTTCGACTTGAAAAATATGGATTGGAGTCACCACCGATCATTTATTTAAAAATAAATGGGTTGATCGAATACCCTATTTCTTACCTGATCTGCGTCTTACCAGAAATATGTCGGGCTCGGGAGTCGGTTACGGTTAAGGAAGGATTAGCACCCTTGAACCGCCCTTTCGGTATTACGTAATTTCCAGTTGTCTTAATTAAGAAAAATAACAAGTTAAATTAAAAGGCAAAGTTTCGACCCCAATTACTTACCCTTGATTAATTTGAAATTACTACTAAAAAAGGTCCAAATATGTTAGATAATAAAATAAAAGAAATATTGAACAAAGATTAATTAAATAAAAAAAATCAAAGGAGGGAAAAACTAAAAAACTAAAATAAAAATGTTAGATTTAAAAGGGAAAAACGTTTAGGAAATAATAGTAATTTTATATAAAAAAGAAAGTCAAAAAGGCTAAAAGGAAAAGGTTGAAAGTTGAAAAAATTAGAATAAAATTGAAAAAGTTGAAAAGAAGGTTAAAAAAAAGTGTAGAACAAATATATATATATATATATATATATATATATATATATATATATATATATATATATATATAAACCTAATAAATAATATTTAAGAAAACAACAAAATACCATCACTTCACGGAAACGTAAAGTTTTGGTCAGATAGAAGACAAAAAGGGGACCCTAGAAAAATGGTATTTCAAAGGTTAGGTTAGATATATATAATATATATATATATATATATAATAATAATAATAATATAAAATAAAATAATAATAAAGACAAAAGACTAAAAAGAAAATAATATAATATAATAATAATGAATAAAAACGAAAATAATAAGAATATAGAAAATAAAGAAAATACACTTATATATATAATTATAAAATATAATACTTAAATAAAGAAATAAATAAATAATTAAAAATACATATATATTAATAATAGGTATAAATAAAACATTTAAAAATATACGTATACATAACAAATAAATAAAATAATAAAAATAATATAAGGGTTAAATTGAATAAAAGAAAGTTGGGTGGCGAAATTGAGATATACTGGCCTTAAAATCGAATTAATGGAGCGAAAAGAATGAATTAAAGCGAAGTGGGACTAAAACTGGGATTAACCCAGTTTTGTTCGAAAACGTGCGAATCTGGCCCCTGGGTCGGGTTAACACGCGGACCCTGAATGAGAAAATGAAACTATCAAGCCAAAACAATGGCTTATATACGTGACCCATTTACCCATTCAGGGTCCGCGTGTTAACCCGACCCAGGGGTCAGATCCGCACATTTTCAAACAAAACTGGGTTAATCCCAGTTTTAGTCCCCCTTCGCTTTAATTCTTTCTTTTCGCTCCATTAATTCGATTTTAAGGCTAGTTATATCTCAATTTCGCCACCCAACTTTCTTTTTTATTCAATTTAACCCTTATATTATTTTTATTATTTTATTTATTTTGTTATGTGTACGTATATTTTTAAATGTTTTATTTATATACCTATTATTATATATATATTTTAATTATTTTATTTATTTCTTTATTTAAGTATTATATTTTATAATTATATATATATAAGTGTATTTTTCTTTTTATTTTCTATATTTCTTATTATTTTCGTTTTTATTCATTATTATTATATTATATTATTTTTCTTTTTTAGTCTTTTGTCTTTATTATTATTTTATATTATTATTATTATATATATATATATATCTAACCTAACCTTTGAAATACCATTTTTCTAGGGTCCCCCTTTTGTCTTCTATCTGACCAAAACTTCACGTTTCCGTGAAGTGATGGTATTTTGTTTGTTTTTCTTAGATTTATTTATTAGGTTTCTTATATTTATACATATATATATATATATATATATATATATATATATATATATATATATATATTTGTTCTACACGTTTTTTTAACATTCTTTTCAACTTTTTCAATTTTTATTCTAATTTTTTCAACTTTTCAACCTTTTCCTTTTTGACTTTCTTTTTTATATAAAATTACTATTATTTCCTAAATGTTTTTCCCTTTTAAATCTAACATTTTTATTTAGTTTTTCCCTCCTTTGATTTTTTTTATTTAATTAATCTTTGTTCAATATTTCTTTTATTTTATTATCTAACATATTTGGACCTTTTTTAGTAGTAATTTCAAATCAATCAAGGGTAAGTAATTGGGGTCGAAACTTTACCTTTTAATTTAACTTGTTATTTTTCTTAATTAAGACAACTGGAAATTACGTAGCACCGAAAGGGCGGTTCAAGGGTGCTAATCCTTCCTTGACCGTAACCGACTCCCGAACCCGACATATTTCTGGTAAGACGCAGATCAGGTAAGAAATAGGGTATCCGATCAACCCATTTATTTTTAAATAAATGATCGGTGGCGACTTCAATCCATATTTTTCAAGTCGAAGCCCAATTCCGGGGCCCAACCGAAAGACGGTTACGACAGTGTGCAAACTGAAGTCAAATACAGCTAGCTTTAGATGTTGCCTGCTTCTGATCACAGTTTATTATTTTCTAGTCAGGCTTACTAATTGTAAGCTGGTATTAGAGAATAAAATTGTTGCAAAACCTTTTATAGTGTATGTATAATTTGATCTTAAGATATCCGTTTGATATATATTATTTAGTATGCTCTATTATGCATTATCATTGCTTAAATTGTGTAAACATCTACTCTATTCTGGATAAGTATAACTGCACTGGCTGATGCTCGCTTAGTTTTTATTCAGTGAAGTTTATATCAGAGCACCTTCAAAGGGGAGACCATTCACTATTAGGGAGGTGAAGGCTTCATATATTGGCCAGCTTGTAAGAATAGCTGGTATTGTAACTCGTTGTTCAGATGTTAAGCCTCTGATGCAGGTGGCTGTATACACATGTGAAGAATGTGGCTGTGAAATTTATCAGGTAACTAACTATTTTCAGATTTTTTATATAAATATTAATTGTTCTCTTTGTCAATGGTGATGGGCTGACTTGCTAAGGGACATATACATCACTTGTAATGCCTACTTTTTTCTCTTTCCATTTGTGTGCCAAACAGGATGTAACTGCTCGAGTGTTCATGCCATTGTATCAGTGCCCATCAACGCGTTGTTCAATAAACAAGACAAAAGGGAACCTTATCCTTCAACTTAGGGCATCCAAGTTTTTGAAGTTCCAAGAGGTTATAGTTTAATATGGTTTATTAAGATAACGGTAATAGCAAGGGATCCTGGTACATTCTCGATAATGTGTAACATTAAATTTTCCAGGCCAAGATTCAAGAGTTGGCAGAGCATGTTCCCAAAGGCCGCATTCCGCGGACAATGACGGTTCATTTTAGAGGGGAAATAACAAGAAAGGTTGGTTTTCATTTTAATTACCTGTGATCAAAGTACCAAAAGATTGATTTCATAAAATTCCTGTGTAGACATCGCACCTGTTTCTTTTTCCGCTTCCCCTCCTTGCTACATTACATTGCATGGCTGGAGACATCACATCCTGTTCATAATGAAATCTAACTGCATTGTGCTAACAATGTGTTTGTGTTACCTTGCTTATCTAATTCAGGTTTCACCCGGTGATGTTGTTGAATTATCGGGTATCTTTCTTCCTATTCCATACACCGGATTTAGGGCAATGCGTGCTGGATTAGTTGCAGACACATATTTGGAAGCCATGTCTGTCACTCATTTCAAGAAAAAATACGAAGAGTATGCCACTTTCCTGATATAATCACTGGAGGAATACATATAATATTCAATATGAAAAATATCCATCTTTATGCTTTCTAATGTCACTATGTTAGCTTGCAAAGAAGACATCTGATATGGATGTCTCAGATCTCCATTCACTGAAACAAATTAAGTCCCAAACAATATGCATGTGCATGTATTTTCACTTTATTATGCTCAACGGCTAGCTGAGGATGGTGATATATATAACAAGTTGGCACGCTCATTAGCTCCTGAAATTTATGGACATGAAGATGTTAAAAAAGCTTTGCTTCTTCTTCTTGTGGGTGCTCCACACCGTAAGCTAAAGGATGGGATGAAGGTAATATGCCATCTTGTGTTCTATTGTGTTTGTTGGCCGGCATTTTCTTATTATCATTTATCACTTCTACTAATATGACTCACTACAGAAGTTGGCCAAATCATTTCACTGTTTACTTGGATAGTTCAAGTTATGCCCATGAGCAGTATAGCACTAATTTCATCACTCCCTTTTCTTTCCTACCGAGGAATCCTCTTTATTTTATACTTACTATTTGCTTCCTTTCGTATTTGTCATTTGGACCGACTAATAGCATTTTAACGAATTACTTGCCTATATTGCAGATCAGAGGAGATTTACATATTTGTTTGATGGGTGATCCGGGTGTTGCCAAAAGTCAGCTTCTCAAGCACATTATAAATGTAGCACCCAGGGGAGTCTATACCACTGGCCGGGGAAGCAGTGGAGTTGGTCTAACTGCAGCTGTGCAGAAAGATCCTGTCACAAATGAGATGGTCTTGGAAGGAGGAGCCTTGGTTAGATGTGTTCTTTTCTTGTATTATAATTTATTGTATTTAAATGAATATGTTTATGGCAAGATAAGACAGAAGAATGTGGCAACAACAATTGTGTACATTTCATTAAGGACCATATAGATCTTGCCAACCTTTCTTTTGTATCGTCCGTGTTACAAGTTATGCTTTGTTCTGTTAATGGTTATAATTTTGAATTGGTTTCTGTTTTACATATGCATTTAGTATATCTAAACTCAAATACGGTCCATTACATCTAATTATTATTAATCTCAAATATGACCCTCTTTATATAATTGTTATCTTCAAGGTTCCTATGGTTTAATAGTGACATCTTGATTCTGTTTCAGGTGTTGGCGGATATGGGTATATGCGCTATTGATGAGTTCGACAAGATGGATGAATCTGATCGTACAGCAATACATGAAGTTATGGAGCAGCAGACTGTCAGTATTGCAAAGGCAGGGATCACAACATCTCTGAATGCAAGAACTGCAATTCTTGCTGCTGCGAATCCAGCCTGGTAAAAATGATTTAGGTCCTTCAAAGTTGTTTCTATATGCAAAATCAAATTTATTAACTTGAGTCATTTAACTTGTTTTGAAGGGGAAGATATGACTTACGCAGAACTCCAGCTGAAAATATCAACCTCCCTCCAGCCCTTCTGTCAAGATTTGATCTTCTGTGGTTGATCTTGGATCGAGCAGATATGGATAGTGATCTTGAGATGGCAAGGCATGTTGTTTATGTGCATCAGAATAAAGAATCTCCAGCTCTTGGGTTCACTCCACTTGAATCATCTGTCCTTCGGTAAGCACAGTAATTGCTTTTCCATGGAAAACTTGGCCTCCTTTTTCTGGATTTGTAGAAGCTATATTCTGTTTCATAGTTGATAATGATACGTGTGTTGTGTAAGTAGCTTTTCCTGTTCTTATTACACATATTTGGTATGTTAAAGTTGTTGATTTTCATTTAGGTTCCTGTACTTATATCTTGTTTTATGGCTTTTCATTTGTAGAGCATATATTTCTGCTGCGAGAAGATTTTCTCCTTGTGTTCCAAAGGAGCTGGAAGAGTACATTGCTACAGCTTATTCCAGCATTCGGCAAGAAGAAGCTAAATCAAATACACCTCATTCATATACTACTGTGAGGACCCTGCTAAGCATTCTTCGAATATTAGCAGTAAGTGCCAAGTTCCTTTTTTTTCTTGATATAATAGTACTTTACTTTCTATTGGTCTGCTTAACGGGTTGGATTGGTTTTCTTTGGGTTGGACAAAGGGAAGGGTGAAGGATGTAGATTGTCTGGCTCTGAAATGTAGGTGCAAGTACAACACAGCACTCTCAGAGTTATTGTTTGCTAATATGAAATTTTTTCATGTAGATTGACTATAATAATTTCTGGTGCAAAATATCTGCCCCTGGGTGGAGCATTTTTCTTTCATTTGAAGTGCAATTGACATGAAGTTGATATAATTTTGTCACAGGCACTAGCAAGGCTTCGTTTCTCTGAAACTGTGGCCCAGAGTGATGTCGATGAGGCTCTTAGGCTGATGCAAATGTCAAAATTCTCCTTGTATTCCGATGAACGTCAGAAGTCTGGTCTGGATGCCATATCTGATATATATTCAATCTTACGAGATGAAGCGGCAAGGGCTAACGAGATGGATGTGAGATATGCCCATGCATTGAATTGGATTTCTAGAAAGGTTTGTTCTCCATACAAGATAGTTGAACTCGTAATTGTTGCTTATTGTCTGGGAAATTGAAATGTTATCTAACACTAATGCCAATCATCTTGCAAGGCAATATCATTATTATTGCATGGAGTAACTTGACAATTAAGTCTTCTGGCCTCTTGTTGGAGTCTATATTCTAGGATTTCTGTACTTGATGGGAATAAGTTTGGTCTTAACTTGAAAGCTGTGACAAAATATAAACACTTGATTATTACTAGCAAGCTGTTGTTAATCTGTGAGCCTGTATTACAAGAGATTCAACCAAGTGCTACTGAGGTGATTTAGTTCATCTAATCAAACAACCCTAGCATTTGACCTTTCTGGAGGTTGCTGATGTATTATTATTGTTCTTGTTTTAGCACCAATAACTGCAAATACAATGCATGGTGATCTTAGAAGCTAGACCACAAAAGTTAAATGTTTGTTCTTAGTGCATATATTTGGATAAGTAGTGTTTTGGCATATTAGTGAAACTGAAATATTGATTTTTGGTTGTCAAGACTACGTAAAGATTCTCACTGCTTAAGGTTTATTGTTTGGATTTAACAGGGATATAGTGAAGCTCAATTGAAAGAATGTTTAGAGGAATATGCTGCCTTGAATGTGTGGCAGATACATCCCCACACCTTTGATATTCGATTTATAGATGCCTAAAGTTGCTATAAATCAATTGGAGGCTACCCGTGTCAGCTTCATCCATCTGCAGGCTTTTATAATCCATATCCTAAGGTAGTTGAATTTAACATATAGTTGTCACTTGTACCATTTGAAGTTATGTAGGTAGTAGTAGTAGTCGGAATTTGCCGAGACTTGAATAACAGTTAAGTTTGAATCTGAATTGAATGTGAGATTATGTTATTGGCAGCAGCATGCTAAAAACATTCCTGTTTTAAATCATCTTTTGCTCTATAGTCTGATGGGGGAGTCACTCTTCTATTTTTGTCTTCTGATAATCCTGTTATGTTCAGAAATGACAATGTCTTCACTTAATATTAGCAAATTATTAGGAACTTGGGGCTCAGCTGTGCAATTTGATGAAGCATTAGAGAACAACTATTTAGAAGGTTTGACATGGACTTAATGGTTCCAAAGGTGAAGAGTTATTTCGGTACAAGTGGTTACCTATCTTCTAAAAGCTGAGGCATTGTTGAAATAAATTAATGAGAGATTTGTGGGGATTGTAAGTAAATTATTGAAAATATTTTTGTATCAACGTTATTACCAACAATAAGGGGAGGGGGGGAAATGTTGGTACTTATTCTTGGATCACGCCATCCCGGTATAAAAACCAGCCCAGCCAAAGCTGGTAAAGAATCTCTGATTTCATGGAGTCCATGTTTCAGTGTGGGCATTGTAATGGATAATATAGAAAGAATAAGGCCCAAATCATCTAATATACATAAAGAAAAGAAAAATGAATAATGGAAAATGGCCAACAATGACAGCATAGGAATGCCCACAGCTACAGGGCGGGCTAGTTAGTTAGTTATGCTATCAGGCAGAGTGAATGAAACAACATTGCATGGTATTGGTTAAGATGTTTGCGTCCAATAATCTTAAACTCCAAGCAATTGAATGTATGTTATTTGCCAACATGTTTGTTGTTGTGTTCTTCTAGTTAAGATTTAGGAAGCAATTACAAAATGCAAGCAAAGGTTATAGGACAAGAGGGTTGTTAAAGGGAAATTCGACAATGTTGTTACAACAAGACTGAATGACTCTCCTCTCCTGTTGAGGTAATTTATAAATGATTCAATTAACTGGGATTTGCAAGTAGTAATTAAATATTATTATTTTGGAAAGAAATGAGCAACAGTCCAAGCAATGGACTAAATAATTGTTTAGCTTTCAAGGCAATCACTTGGGTCGTTATTTTTCTATGGACGAATGTTGTTTTCAGAAGGAATGTATTTTATTTCTCTGGTAAGCAATCGTGCACCATTTTACCCTCCACTATGGGATCAACCTGAAGTTTGTCCCGAACTCTCTTCAAAGCTAAGCCATTCTTTTTTTCTTTCTTCCTTTTAATAATGAAAAGAAAAAGGAATAAAAAATATTAGAATCAAGCACGAAATCCAATGTTATCTAAAATTTTATTTTAATAATATTTTTACCATTAAACCATTAGTAAAATTAATATTCATATTTATAGATATTGCATTTATTTTTATTTAATAATTGTAGTTAAAGACTATATATATATATTTTTTTGGCTAAAAATTGAAACTAACATCATTCCTCCAGAGTTATCAGACCAGCTACTTGTCTTGGCGGATGAGCAAGTGTTCGTTTTCAATAGGATGTCTTCGAGCCACTAATATTAATAACACATCAAATATAAACATGTTCTTATTTTATGTTTAAAAGAAAATGCTATTAGTTTCTTTGTTATTCATTGAAGAACAATTAATATTTAGGTAGAAATTAAAGCGGAAAAGGACGCAATGAATCATACTTTATTTTGATTAGGCAACTACAGTTCATTCAGTTAATACTAATAACTACCACAACATCACATTTTAAAGCCAAAACGAGCTCGGATTATCTACCTCAGTACACTTAACTACCTAATTCGTTGGAACTGGGCTAACTCACTGTTGATTAACTTAAGAGTTTTGACATCTATGGAATTATAGTCTCAACCAACTTAATCTCCCGCCCACCATGAGTAATATATTTCACCTCGTTATTATTATTATTATTAATATTTTTAAACAAAATAATAATAGAAGTAAAGAATAGTGTGAACATGCAATGATCAAAGTGGTTCTTTCTGCTGCATCGTCGCCATTTCAATTCTTTGCAGAAACTTCATCATTATGTATATAAGTACTAAACAATCTTCTTCCTCACCCATTGTTCCATCACAAAATATCCAAAACAAAAATGGCTTTCGCCAATTATAGCGCCACCTTCTCTTTTGCCTTCTCCTCTCGGGTGGTTTCAGTGGAGCCCGTGATCCGTTTGCTTGCGATCCCAAAAATGCAATGACGGCGAAGTTGTCGTTCTGCAAGGCTTCGATGCCGGTATCGGATAGAGTGAAGGACCTTCTAGGAAGGTTGACTTTGCAGGAGAAGATTAGGCTGCTTGTGAACAATGCTGCAGTAGTTCCCCGGCTGGGGATCAATGGCTACGAATGGTGGTCCGAGGCTCTTCACGGTGTCTCCAATGTAGGACCCGGAACAAAGTTCGGCGGAGCCTTCCCTGGTGCCACTAGCTTCCCTCAAGTAATCACAACCGCCGCTTCTTTCAATGCCACGTTATGGGAAGCCATTGGAAAGGTAAGGCTTACAAACCTAAAACTAAACCATTATACTTATCAGGTCATAATGTATATCACAGTAGAACACACTGAATGTACACACATAAGTAAAATCTCTGGTGGCTCAGGTTGTGTCGGATGAGGCAAGGGCCATGTACAATGGGGGAGCGGCCGGACTCACTTACTGGAGCCCCAATGTCAACATTTTTAGGGACCCACGGTGGGGCCGAGGACAGGAAACTCCCGGTGAAGATCCAGTGGTGGCCGGTATATATGCAGCCAGCTATGTTAAAGGTTTACAGGGAAACAACGGTGACCGGCTGAAGGTGGCGGCTTGTTGCAAGCACTTCACGGCCTATGATCTTGATAACTGGAATGGTGTCGACAGGTTCCACTTCAATGCCAAGGTAAGCAAACAGGACATCAAGGATACATTCAATGTTCCATTCAAAATGTGTGTGAAGGAAGGTCATGTAGCCAGTGTTATGTGCTCTTACAATCAAGTCAACGGTGTCCCCACCTGCGCTGACCCTAATCTCCTACAGAAGACTGTACGAGGTCAATGGAAACTCAACGGGTAAGATCTATGTTCAACGACATTTGATGATCGTTATGATTTCTTGATGACCGCTGGATGTTGGTGGCACACAGGTACATTGTTTCAGATTGTGATTCAGTTGGGGTCTATTATAATACCCAACATTACACTTCAACACCTGAAGAAGCAGCTGCAGATGCCATCAAAGCAGGCTTGGACTTGGACTGTGGACCTTTCTTGGCGCAACACAGTGAAGGTGCAGTGAAAGCGGGTTTGTTGAAGGAGACCGATGTCGACAGTGCATTGGCAAATACGCTCACGGTCCAAATGAGACTCGGCATGTATGACGGTGAGCCATCCGCACAACCATTCGGGAACTTGGGGCCGAAAGATGTGTGCACCCGGTCTCACCGAGAGCTTGCTCTCGAGGCTGCGAGACAAGGCATTGTTCTGCTTAAAAATCGTGGTCCTTCGTTGCCTTTATCACACCGACGGCATCGGACCGTCGCTGTTATCGGACCAAACTCTAATGCGACTGTTACCATGATTGGAAACTATGCTGGTAAATTGTAATCAAAATTAGTTTTTCTTTGAACTTCTTTTTTGTTCAGATGGTTTAGAGGGTTTTCTTCTTTATGGACCACTAGGTGTTGCGTGTAGATACACATCTCCTTTTCAAGGAATAGGAAATTACGCAAAGACAATCCACCAGATGGGATGTGCGGATGTAGCTTGCGTGGATGACAAACTATTTAGTGGAGCAATTGAGGCTGCTCGTCAAGCAGATGCAACGGTTCTAGTGATGGGGTTAGACCAATCAATTGAAGCAGAATTCAAAGACCGGACAGGGTTGCTTTTGCCGGGACGCCAACAAGATCTTGTTTCCAAAGTATCCATGGCTTCTAAAGGTCCAACCGTATTAGTTTTGATGTCCGGTGGGCCTATTGATGTGTCTTTTGCTAAAAGCGACCCACGTATTGCTGCAATTGTATGGGCCGGATACCCCGGACAAGGCGGTGGAGCAGCCATAGCTGATGTACTATATGGAGCAACTAATCCAGAAGGCAAGCTGCCTATGACATGGTACCCAGAAGATTATGTTTCAACTTTGCCAATGACAGACATGGCCATGCGGTCAAGCCAAAACAGAAACTATCCTGGAAGAACCTACAGGTTCTACAAAGGACCAGTAGTGTACCCATTCGGGTATGGATTGAGTTACACCAACTTCGTTGACATCATCGCTGGTGCACCCAAAGTTGTGGTGGTCCCTCTAGACGGCCGCCATCATTCAGGGAACACTACCGTGTCAGGCAAGGCAATCAAAGTGAACCATGCAAAGTGCAACAGGCTCTCTGTTGGGCTTCAAGTAGACGTGAAAAATACGGGATCAAAGGACGGCACTCACACAATGCTTGTATTTTCCACCCCACCGGCTGGTTCTTGGGCACCACGAAAACAGCTGGTGGCGTTCACGAAAGTGCATGTCCCGGCTCGGTCTCAGCAGCGAGTAGGATTCAACATCCATGTCTGCAAGTTTCTAAGTGTTGTAGACAGGTCTGGGATTCGAAGAATTCCTATTGGTGTACATCATCTCCATATTGGTAACGTTAAGCATTCCGTATCCCTTGAGGCTGCAACTTTAGGGGTTATAAGATCCTAGTTTTTTACAGCCAAAAGGGGTTTATACATACATACATAACGAGTGTGTCATTTCTAGACAAAGGAATTGGTTTGAACATCCCTCAATTTAGTTGTAAGAGAAAGAAGCATACACCCCAACCGGGTTATTAGATTTCATTAATCAATTGCATAATTAGTTGGTAATCCTCTTTTGTCGTGTAACACTTATTCTTGTTAATTTGATTGTTATAATGAATACTTCCTTTCTTTCTCTTTTACTCTCTTTGATTGATCTTTGGAATTTTTTATATAAAAAAATTAGAGTAAATTACGCGTTTAGTACTTAAACTATCATTTTTGGTCTGTTTTATTACTTGAACTTTCAATTTTTTCTTCAAAACTATACCTAACGTTTAGTTTTTGTTTCATTTTAGTACCCGTTATTACAATCTTAATGCATTTAGACCTAAACTATCAGTTTTGATCCGTTTTAGTACTTAAACTTTCATTTTTTTCAAAACTTAACGTTAAGTTTTTAACGTGGTACTAATATGAAATAAAAACTAAATGTTATGTATGGTTTTGAAAAAATTAAAAGTCTAGGTATTAAAACGGGCTAAAAATGATAATTCAAATACTAAACACATAATATACCCAAAATTTTACTTGATGAAATTCACGAGTGTCAACCAAAGACTTATGACGAATCACTCATCACTTTCTTCATGGTTCAATAAATTTAGAGGTTCGAAATTATGTGCTGTGGTTAATACAAAGAGTGTGGACTAATTTTAGAAAACGAGTGACTTATATATAAAGAGAGATTGAAATGGGTAATTGTTATTTGACAATTTCAATATTTTTTTATTTCTCATATAAAGATCGGATAGTCTCTTTCTCTCTAAATAGGACACACAATTTGATGATTTTACTATTTCCAACTCATAATTTTTTTTTGTTGAATAGAATAATACCAAATTATACTTTCTCACTTCGGGTATATGTCTGAAAGATTGTGTTAGCATCCATGTCTAGAATTACATCAATTGAGACCGACAATTATAAATTTCGAAAACGTACGAGACGCCATAAAATGAACATAAACCATATCAATTGTTGAATCTAAAGGAGCATTTTCAGGCAAGGAAAAATGGAGGATCTTAGTGTTATTGGGTGAAGATTCACACTCCAAGATTCACACTCCAATAATCATATTCCATGGAACAGAAAATGATTTTCACTATCAACTGTCGAAGTTGCATTTTTCAACTTCATTCCAAATATTTTTCCAAAACCTCTTGTGGAACAACGTTCGTTGCACAAAACATTATTAATTTTAGCCAACGTATACATCTATATCATTACTTATGAGGTAGGGAGGCAGGCATTGAAGTCTCGTCACTCATGAGCTGGTTCTCGATCAAATATCAAACAGCTACATGAATCGGGCTGTGATTTTTGGATGCTGGCGTGCCGAGATTACATAATGCATGCATCATGTTTGTTTCTGTAAATAGAAAGTTCGACCCAAAAAGAGTAAGGCCGACCCCCGAATATTAGGATCCAGCCTAATCCAAGTCCTAGTCCTCTATATGCGAGTCCTCTGCAAATCAGCACGTTCCATGTGCTTCGTGTTCTCATCATTATCCTAAACGCTAATCTTTAGCATATGCCGAGACAAAAAGAAAATAATATAGCAGGCAGTAATGCTCTGGTTTTGACATTTTTTAAATGTATCGATTAAATCATAAGTAGAGGGTGGATCCTAACTCTTAAAAGCCAGGCATGGATCGTTTCTTTTAGCTACTGTCACGTACTTCAACTCACCTCCCCTCCCCTCTTGTCACACACACCGTCTCATTGGCCCAACATAATGCAGAAGCGATATTGTTTTTCTTTGGGCATTAGCAAAAGGGAGGGATAAGGAGTGAAAGGAATTTTAGTTTTATGCCTTAGGGCGTATATGAATAGAGTTTGAATGAATATGACTATGCTTATTTTTTTTATTTTTAAAGATGTTATTATTCTGTTCATATTCATTTAAAATTTTAATATCATATTCCCATTTATTTATTTATTTATTTTAGAAGGTATTCGTGTTTATTTATTCATTAGTAACGAGCGAACATGTTCATTTAGCCAGGACTGTGGGCTCAAAATTTCTATTATGTATTCATATTTATAAAAAAAAAATGATTTTATAGTAGTTAATTTTAATACTTGTTATTAAAGGTTTATTTTTTCTTTAATATTTATTATTATGGGCTCAATATATTTTTGTTGTAATATTCATTATTAGGGGTCTACTCTTCTAATTTATTGTTCTTCTGATATTTGTATAAGTATTCATTTTTTTCTCAATATTTGTTCTAACATTTGTTATTAAAGGTTCAATTTTTTAAATACCTATTATTAGGGCCCCAAAATTTTCAATATTTATTATTAGGGGCACACTTTTAAAATTCAATTTCTTTTTTAACATTTATTTTTTATTCTGAGTCTAATTTTTTCATTATTTTTTATTAGAGTTTTAATTTTTTTTCAATATTTGTTATTACGAGCATACTCTTAAATTTTACTTTTTAATATTTGTTATTAGGGACCTATTTTGTTAAATACTTGTTATTATGGATTTGTCCTAAATTTTTTTTTCAACACTTGTTATAAGGAACAATTACTTAAATAACGATCTGTAACCATAACAATGATCGTTATATAGTGGCAACGACATTGTCCAAAACCGTAATATCCACAATTGTTATGTCAACAATAGCTTATGTTATTTAAAATTCACAATGATGATACTTGAAATGATTGTGATTTCATTTTGTAACATCATAAATTTTGGACTAGTGACTGGAATGTAAAATTTTGAAAGTTTGGGACTAAAGTATAAAATTTAAAACTTCAAGGACTAAAAATGTAAATTTTCAAAAAATATATTTTGGGTTAGTAAATAAGTAGTTTAGCCCAAGACAATTATTTTAGTGGGTTTCAGATTTTTGACCTGGAGTTTGCATAAAAGTTTAGTAAATGATAAGGATCTGTAAAATATTTGAAAAATCATATCTAATCGGAAGTCTAAAATTTTTGATGGAAGGTGGTTTGGGGTTAAAAAAATTATATGGATATTTTTAATTAGTAGAATTTAAGTTGAATTGGTGGAATTTGGTGAGAGTTGCACTATAAAACGAAATAGTGTAATTTAATGACTAAATTAAAATTTTGGAAAATTAGAAGGTTAAAAAGGGAAATTAATAGATGATATTTTTATAGCTATTTAATAATATTAAAATAGAAATAAAGGAGTGTCATGGAGGTAAAAATAAGGATTCATTAAGGGTAATTTAGACTTTTGGACCAAAATGAATTAAAAATTCATTTTAAATTAGCTTTTAATAGTTAAATCAAGAGATATTTTGATAGAATTTTCTTGAAATTCTTCTTCTTCTCCGGCAAGCTGCCGAAACACCATAGCCCAGGTGAACCAACTTTTCTTTTTCATTTTTTTTTTCAATTTGAGTAAGATTTAGGACTAAGATGTGAAATAAGAAAATAATCTACATTAATTCCTCTACAATTTGACATAATTCTTTCTTGGTTTCATGCTTGAATGGTGAAAGTTAATGATTTATGTGGATGAAGGGGAGACTTAAATTCATTGAAATTCATTGAATTAAAGTTAGAAGTGAATGTTAAGAATGTTGTAGAACAATATACCAACATGAAATTGGATTGAAAACCATTAGAAAACAAGAGTGAAACATTCGGCCATGAATTTTTTTTTATTAAAGGCCATGAACTTGGTTGGTGAGAATATGATTGAATTTGATTTGTTTTATTTTAAATTTGATTGGAATGGATTGGAAATGGGGTGTTGATGATTAAATTGTGATTGAATCAAATTGGAGACCATTAGAGTAAAGGTTACAAAGTTTCGGCCAAAAGAAGAAATTAGGAGGAAATTTTGTAAAAAAATATTTAGGGTTTAGATTGAAGGTAGGAATAATTCTAAGTACTTGAAATGATGTTTGGGACCAATTTGCAACTTTGTTAGGTTTTGAGGACCTTTGCGCAAGACTTGATAACTTAAAGGATTAATGTGCAATTGTTGAGAAGTTAAGGTCCTATGTTGAAATTTAGTATTAGAACATTGAATTGGACTGATTTGGAAGAGTTTATAAGTCTAGGAATCTACTTGTAAGTTTATTTAAATTAAGGGAGAGAAATTAGCATCGACTATATATCGCTTGTATTTTTAGAAATTTGTTGAGTATGGTTATAATATTAGTTAAAGTACTAATGTACGTTGAAATTTGTTTATGATGGGGAAATGATCATCTTGAAGATCGCGATCGAAATTCGAAAATGAGCGAGTTGAAAAATAAAGAAGTTCGAGAGTAAGCGGTAGTAACAATAAAAAACTAGCGAGGCAATTAAACTTATTACAATAGATAATACGAGGACGACTTGCGATGAGTCAACCTCAATCGTTTTTATTAAAAAGTTTTTTTAAAGTAGTATTTGAACATGGATTTTATTAAGTTGTTATATTACAAAGTATATGATTGAGTTGGGAATGAACTGCCCAATAAAATACTTATGGGATTTTATTCGAATCGAATGTATGATTATATTACATGCAAAATAGTATATGATTTTTAGTAAGCCCATTGTATGTAAGTGAGAATTAATGGTACAATTGCATGCCAAGAGGTGGAGTGAACAAGTATAAGCTTACGAGTTGCACCAATATAAATTGCTCATACGAGACTTGTAACACTCCTAACCCGCACCCGACCCAGATCCGAGTCCGAGTGTCACATTAACTTTTCAAAACATTTTCTTTATAATTTGGTAAAAATTTATATCCATAGTTGAGGAAAATGAATAATTTTCATTAATTAAAACATTTAGTTTCACCAAACCTATCAGAGCATATCAATACAATTTTCTTAGTACATGCCAACTAAATATAACAATGTACACATGATTCCAAATTCTTTTCTGATATGAATTTCGTAAAGGAGTGTCTAACCTATCTCGCTCCTCTTAACTTCACTTCTTGCTTCCCGGACTTACGTGTGAAACAATTACACGATAAGTCGATGACTTAATGAGGCATATAAAACTTATGACATAAC